CAACCTTGAGGAAGGAAAAACAAATGCAAACATTGCTTCTGGTTTGATAACACATGTTTATCTTTCATAATTTCTTTGGAAAACAAAGCTTGGTGCTTGCTCAAAGGCACCTCAGCAGTGCTCAGGAAATGAACTGGCACCTCTCAAGCTACCAATTTCCAGACTTTGTCCGCACCGGGACTTCAACCATTATCTATACTGCTTATTCCATTCAGGGTTATGGGGGGAGGGGGGGGCTTGATCCCATCACTCAATGAGCGAGAGGCAGGGTTCACCCACTGTAGTCTCCAATCATACCAATAAAAATAGATGAAGATATTGTTTTGTTTTTTCTGACTAGTTTCCCAAATGTTTGTTATATTCATATCTTTAATCTAGTAATAACAATAATACTTTCAGTCAGAAAGTCCCATTTTAAATACAGAACACATTTGGCTTCCTCACACTGACTCTTCTGAAGCCCTATAATCAAGCCCCATTGACGTCCCCGTTGTATTGTAAGCGAGATAATGGAGAGTAATGTGGCCAGCCATGTCTCCCAATTGGACAACAGCACCCTCGGTTTTTATGTAATGTATTTGATTGTAAACCATTGCTTTTTCCCAGATCTACCAAAGCTATGTTTACACACTATTTCACTTTTACTGACTATCATACTTATATACTTATATATGAATAAACTCTGAATTTCCTTGTTGTCAGGCCGTGTTTACATCATGTTTACATGGACGGGACATCACAATGTAGGACACAGGCAATTGCAGCTCGAGTAAAGGACAATTTTGTCGGCCACTTGCGATTAACGGTGCTTAATTATGGTGAGTTCTAATTGATTACTAATTTGTGCTAACGCGAGTGGAGAGAGGTTGGAGGTGTGACCCCGCAGGACAGCGGAGGCTTCAGAATAGCGGAGGTGTCGCCAAACAGCAGTTTGTTTTGGTTCAATGCTGGTACAAGACATCAACGTCCTACTGCAAAGAACATTAGGGAGTACATATTTGTATCATGTCAAGCAACGGTATTAATAGAAATGAAATATATTTAAACAAGGTGATGATATATAGACACCCATGCAAATCTAAATGTTCATCTTGAGCAGAATCAATCTTCCTTTGGCTCAAACAAGCATTGACATCATTTCTTGTATTATTCCTTTGCTACATGATTTATAAACCTTAAAATAAAATAAAAAGGGTTCTTATGTTGTTTGATACAGCTGTTTTATGGAGACGGCCCTCTTGTAGTATCTTTGCTTATATTTACTTTATTGAATGTTATACGTGTTGTACATTGAGAGCACAGTACTGAAGACAAATTCCTTGTGTGTTTAAGCATACATGGCCAATAAAGCCGATTCTGATTAAGTCGCATCTTTCACATTGCTGCCAACTTTGTGGGTGTGTATACAGTGAGGTTGTGGATGTATGTACTTTAGGAGGTGACCGTGCTCACACTGAAGAAACAGGAACCTGAACATCCACAGTTACATAAAATAATTGGAAGGTTATATAACTGTTCAGTATTTGATGTTTTAATGGTGCTCCAGTGGCAGAGCTCCACTTTTTTCACTGTCAGTTTAAAACATTTACTGATAACTACATTTCCTGTTCCCGCTCACAGCGGTTCACTCACTGTGAATCATTAAATAGTGACCATTACTAAAAAAAACAAATGTTACAGCTAGCAGCTGAAGTGGAATAATCAATGTTTTTTTTTTTTTTAATTGAATGGGTTAGACTTCAAGTTTAGTCATGTCAAACATTTTCATTACTCAAAAAACAACAACAATTTCACTCCAGATTTTAAATCAAGACCACCGATGATAGGCTTCTTTCTGAAGTCATTACTGTTGGAGATTAGAAGGAAAAAAAGGCCTCTTTCTAAAACACAGATAAACTTCAATTCATTTGTAGTTTGAGTTGCCGGTGTTACGGCCTAAATGAGTGACACGCCCCCCAAACACAAGATGATGAATTTTCATTGATTGAGGACTGAGGAACAGCTTCATCCCCCCCGAACTGTAGCCTCCATCACCCCCTCCCCAAACATACTCACACACATACAGACCTTCAAAGAGCTGCTAAAGACTTAACCATTATTCATTTATCTTTTGTAGATATTGTGTGTTAATGCTCCTGTCTTTAATCTGCTGTTTGTACTTAATAAGTACAATAATAATATAACAACACCCTGCTATACAAGGATAACAGACTGTTGCTATGCGTATTTGGCCAATCAGAATCAAGTATTCAACACAGCCAGACAGTAATACATTTTTCTTACAGTCTTGGTTAAGGACCAATGAGGATTCACTGGGAAATTATGAAGAGAACTGTCCAGCCTTGAATGGTCGTTGTATCCCTCAAGCGCTAGTTTACTTCTTCTTTTTTTTTTTACAAGCTGTTCCATTTGCAAATAATCAAAAAGTGTCCCATGGCTAAATAAGCGTTGTCTTCTTTACATGGTGCAAAACTTTCAACTTTTCCATCGTACCCTTTAGCATTTTGCCAGAAGGGCCATACATGGAGTTCTTTAGCTAATAAAGAAAACTTATGAAGTTGTTTGTATTCATTTTTCAGCACCATTTTCATCGTCGTGGCAACACTATACTTAAAATAACTTTTCATTCTTGAAATATATGATCACATGTCTCTCTCATGTAACTGTACAAGCACACACTGTCTGTACCTCATGGAGGAAAGCTTAATCAGTCAGTCAAAGATAAGTGTTTGAATGATGGAGGAAAAAAAAAACCAGAGGGATGTTTGTTCGGTCATGAAGGTGTCACTCAAAGAGAAGATTCATTATAAGCCGTATGTGCAAAGGATCAACAGGAGGGACTGGTAGCAGCTCCACTTAAAGGTGTCAATATGTTTTTTATTCTTAGAATGTATTATCCACTCACGTGAGAATCATGTAGGAAGTGTTGTGACCTCAGGTCTGTGAGAATGCGTTCATGTGACCACTGTCACTTCATCATGTTCTGGTACTTTAGCAGCTAAAGGGCACGTGAGCAGAATTTATGGTCCATTTTTATTTAATGAGAATCTTGCTAAAACACATTTAACTTGATTCCGACGAAGCAGCGGGAGTAACCTGGGGTTAGTGTGTGTCTTGCCCAAAGACACAAAGGACATGTGACTGCAGGAGCTGGGGATCAAACCCCTGACCTTCCAGTCGGACGACCGACTCGTCCAATTGAGCCACAGCTGCCCTGTTCGTTATTAGAAACAGATAAATATACAAAATGTAGTGTCTGAGGAACCGATTTGGTTTGTGGTCACAGGCCGTCCAACCTGTTGTACTTTGAATCTTTTTGTAACCTACATGATCTGTTCCGTCTGAGAGGGATTGAAAAGTAAGCAGGATATGTGTGTCACGGTCAGCAAGCTCTGCATGAGATGATGAGATGAGATGAGATTCAACTTTATTGTCATTACACATATACAAGTATAGAGTAACGAAATGAGGTTTGGCATCTCACCAGAAGTGCAAATAAGCAGAAAGTGCAATAGTCTGTGCTATGTACAGTAATTCTGTGCTATGTACAGTAATCGCAAAATTTACAGATGTAGCCAAAAAAAGTGAATTATGAGGTATATCTGGATGGCTGGATTAATGGGATGCAATAAATATAAATAAATGCTATAAATAAGTAATGCTACAAAATAAGTGTGTTTTTAGGATTATAATATACAGATTAAGATGCAGTGAGCATCTATACTAACATGTGAGCTTATCAAAACAGAAGGTGTGCACACAGACGATATAACAGGTGCATATATGCTCTTATAATCAAGTGTAATTAACTAAGAATCAACACATTGATTGCCAAATTCTGATTTGAAATAATCAGTTGACCCAGTTGTTTGTGTACTCAAGACTTTTCCAGATCCATGCCACAATCCCTTAAATGTTTATTTTGCCGTTTTTTCATAAAACTGTTGTGCACAAGACAACAAATAAAAGCAAATGCAAACCCTCCTCAGATATGTTGGCGTCTGAATGTACTGTATATGAAGTTGACATCTGCTTGATGAGGAAACTCCCCCTCCTCCAATCAGAGCTCCTTTTAAAGCCAAGCAAACAGCATGTAATTGTTTTTTGTGTCAAAGGGACCAATTCAATTTTCTGCTTCAAAAGAGAAAGAAAAGAATTAGAGAAAAGCAATATATCCTTTTTACAAGAGATTTAAGCACCTTCAAATCACCACGGTAACAGTGTCATACCTACTGGAGATTGGATTCAACACAATTTTTTTTGCTCCAGACGAAACAACCCGGAAAATGGAAAAATCTAAATGGGAAAAAAGAGCATGCAAAAAAAAACAAAGCTTAAAAAATCAGCCTGAAATCAAAATCATCCTGTCATCTAACTCTAAGTAAAAAATAAAATCGGTATCATTTGTGTTGTAACTTATCTGTAGTTTGTATCTGAACTGTCTCTCCTGCTGCTGTAGTCTACCATCTTAAAGGTCTTTTTTTCTTTCTTACTCTAGAGCAGCAGAAAGCTAAATGCATTTTTCTTATTCTCAAACAGACACATGATGTGATTCAAGAAAAAACTTTTTTTGCACTGAAGTATTGACCTTCCCCAATTTCTCTTCCTGGTTCTGTCTCATCTCTGCTGCCGACATGTGAGAACATCATTGTATAACACCAACCTGCACATGTCCTTGCTTGCTTACTGGTTTGGCTCACAGTGTTTATATTAAAAGCACTGTCTTCAATCTTCATTGCTCATTTATTACTGCAGGGACTTGTTTCTTTTATCCAGCTCAACGTAAACAAGCCGCTGACTGGAGGGGTACAGAACTGAAGCTGTGTTGTGTCTTATGCAACAGTTAAGTTTTTCTGAATCTGGATGGCAATGTCACTTTAAAGGTAGAGTCAGTAGCTCTAGCAAGTGAATGCTTAAAATCAGTTTTTTGGCATTACAACAAACACCAATACTACCAGTACACCTTTAAAAAAAATAAAAATAATTTTGTGACTGAAAAGTAGTTGATATTTAAATGTATTTGTAAGGAGAGCTGAACAGTATCTATGCAGGCAAAGTGTTCTCTCCACACAAAATGAACAGTCATGTTGAGAATATTAACGGGCATGTGTATGATACTGCAAATGCAATGCTGCCATCAAGTGGAAGTGGAAGCCAAAGCATGCTCTCAAAAAATATTTAGGGGGCTTTGAAGGACAAAAATGAACAGACTTTTGACTCTGCAGAGAAAACAAGCTGCGACTAGGCTTCAAATACACGACAAGTAACAAGGCATGTTAAAAAGAAAGCTTACCCACATGATGGCAGCTTTACAGCCCAAGTTCAGCCTGTGTTTTGATTAAGTATTAAAAGTACAATATGTAGAATGTTATTAGAATTTCACTCTAAAATATCTAAATTAATTTAAAAAAAAGCTGAAACCTTTTGTTATATATATATACTGTATATACACCAGATATAAGGAGGCAGGAACTACTACTGAAAGCTGCCATGCTGTTTCTGTAAGTGCTGCTGTGAAACATTTTGCTCATCGGTAAACATATTCTCTTCCTCGGGTCTCTCCTGCCCATTCGTCTTGACTGCGGTCAATGCAGAGTTCGTTTTCATCGGGCGTTGGGTTGGAGTAGCAGAGAAAATCACTCGCATGATTCCCTGCCAGCCTGGACGTAATCTGTTGTTATCATTTTGATAGAGAGCCCCCTGATGGTAGAATTTCCGTACTGTGCATTTAAGTGCTTTATTTGACTACTTTTCCATATAAAAAAACAACAACCAATGAAAGCACGTATTCTAGCTGTACATTGGTTTCTAAGTTAGAAATGTCAACAGAAGGATCTCCACCATTGCACAGATCCACTGCAGTGTGAACATGTGTCCTGTTGAAGTCAGCGTCAGTGTTTGAAAGGAGAGACGGTTGATGTCAGAAGGTGGCCACAGACGGCATTGATAAGACTGAGTGAGATGTTTTGGCTCCAAATCGATTGTGCTCACGACAAATTGCCTTTCATACTGGTCCATCTGGATCTCTGTTCTGGCAGAGTCTGTTAAGTTTAAGTCTCCTTGGGACCAGTGGACGTTGCAGAGGGGGAAATGGCAACTGAACCAACACGTAGCCTGAGTACTATTGATGGAGTAGTTTCGACTTGCGGTGCATTCTGTAAAAAAAAAAAAAAATGGAGAAAGATACCAAAAGACAGTGACAAAATGATCATCAAACATGAATAAATAATCATGCAAGGACAAAACTGGAATGACTATAAGGAATCTAGACAGATTGGCAAATTTTATGAAAAGACACTGTTGACAAGACTGGACCAGGGAATGCTGCTAGTGCAGCTGTTTGCTTCACATTAAAACAAAAAAAGGAAGTCTTTAGCATGCATCATTCCGAATACATTAAATATACCCTCTTATGTCTTATATGACATCCTGGACCAAGATAGTTTATAGTCTAAGAGCTAGGGAGAGTAAGACAAAAGCCTGGGAAAGAAAATGCTTGAACAAAATTGCAGACAAGTTAAATGACTGAACAAAATTGCAAGGATGTGTAGAGTATACACAGGAATGGCTCAATTTGGGTTAGCTATGGCGATTGAACCATCGTGACTTCCTTGAGTGGACTCACCTTGTACTATCACATGTGTAGGGGAACTCTTTCCTCCAACAGTGGAGCGTATCTTGCAGAGGTACTTTCCCATGTCGACTGGCATCACGTTGGTGAGAGTCAGCTTGAGTGTGTTTTGGGGACTGTTTTCACATTGACCCTTATGTTGAGGAAGACCATTTTCATATTCACACATTATCCTGTTTTTAAACACCCATGAAAATACTTTAATGTCCATGGATCTTGATTGTCTTGCCTCACAGGTCAGTGTCACGTTTTCTCCACATTGTGCTATCACCTGGGGAACAGTGTGCAGCTCCATTGCCCGACTGACTGAATGATCAGAGAGAGAGATCAGTTAGTCAAAACGAGAACACAGCCTGATGATTTACTCTCAAAAATTAACTTCATTCATTTATCTTCGTTAACAAAACTTCATTCAGTATAGCTTTTATTATTATTATTCCATGTTATGCTTAGGAAGCAGGGGCTTGTCCAAGGGGTGGCACAGGCCTAGTGTGGAATTTGATTGGCCACCCCATATGTGCCACCAAAGAAATCTCAGCCTTCATTGGCAATCTACCCGGTCAGAGGAGTTACTTAAGTTCAAACTGACAAATTACCATCCTCTTTCAGTGATTTTCAGTTTCAGTCTTAAAGTATAGAGCACAGTAAATGTGTATGCTTCAACCACTCTTGTGTATTTAATTTCACACAAAAGAAATCACCAATGGCTGGAGAGTATACTGTAAGATGCCCGGATGTAATTCATTAAAATAGTTATGGCTGGTCCAAACAGAAACAAACCTATGGTAGTTGTACATATCTGTGAGCGCAAACAAAGTTATGCCATGCCACCCTTACAAAGGTCAGGGCCACCAAAGTAAAAAAAAAAAAAGAAATCTCTGGTCTTTTTATGTACTCTATAGATAATCAGTCAGGTAACAGTTCTTATTTAGAGTTGGGCCTTTAAAGGTCCCATATTATGCTTTTTCTGGTTTTATATGCTCTTTAGTGTGTTTTCCAAGTGTCCTGTGCATGTTTAGGCACATCTGTGTGCAAAAACTCAAAGTCTGCGGAAACGTAGCTTCTCCTACGTCCTCCTGTTAGCTGCAGCATTAGCTGCATGTAACGCTCGGTTCTAGCCCCCCTCGAAAACATTTTTTTGCCCGTGTGACGTCTTGTCAGTGTGATATCACTGATCTAAGTCCATTGGCTCGTTGTGGCAAGCCCAGCAGCTCATGTTGCACGCCCATTCAATTCTGTAGCACAGCCACGATATGCCGTAGCCTGCGGTAGCACAGTAGTGCTAAGGTGCTAATGTTTATGCCCCCTTGGAGCCAAAGTGGCAACATGGTAAAAGGGGCGTGACATTTCCGAGAACCGTGCTGAGCGACTGACCAATTACAGCAGAGCCGACAGGCCGACCAATCAGATCAGACTTGGCATACGTGGGGACTCTGAACGTGGGCACTTCAGAGCCTTAGAGAGAGAGTCAGAAGCGAGCCGGTGCGTGGAGGCGTGCATGAAAACAGACACTTTTTTTGAACTGTAGCTATTGTGAACATACTTTAGTAGGTACATAGATTAAATATATGAACCCCAAAAAGGGCATAATATGACCTCTTTAAAACGCTTTGTTGGGGAAAAAGAATGGATTATGTCACAGGTATTAAAGGACATTTTTGGAAAATTATTTTATTAATTTAATTTTCATATTTTTTTGCTGAAAATTGGAATTGAAATATAGATGTTAGTACTGAAAAAGCTTCAGCTAGTTAGTTTAAACATGAAACCAAAACTAAAGAAAAGGACCAAAAGCTCAATTACCTCCATTCATAAATAAATCAATAAAGCATCAGTCAGCACTTCTAAACGTATAACTTTACGCAGGATGTCTTTTCCCCCTTGTAAATTTGTGCTCTGGTACTTCCTTGGATTGTGTCGGTGTGAATGAGTCCTTTTTTTTAACGTCTTAGGTCCTTCTCTGAGAGCACCGACCTTCTTCTAGGGAGGGGCCAAAGCGCAAGAGTTTCCTTCTACTTTACACGATGTTTTATCTTTGATTGACATGAAAACCCCAAAGGGTTGAAATGGAAACAAAAGTATTTTTGGACCATTATTGGGTAGAACTATGCTAGCTGTAAGCGATGTGAAGTTAAGTTAAAGTTTTGAACTTGTTGCAACAAGAGACGAGCGAGCTCTATCAAGCATTTATTTGACTTGTTTTCAGCCATTTTGGGAATAAGAGTTTCAAACAATGTCAGAGTCATAAAACAGTGGTATATATGATGAGATATTTACCAGTAACACAAGAGACAGTGGTAAACAACATTCAAGACCGTTCCAAGGAAGTTTTAGTTTAAACATTTTCTCTCAAAGATCTACATCTTGTAATTTTCCTTTATTGAATGTAAAGGTGTACAACATATGTTACATATCTTTGATGATAGAACACAAAACAAAGGGTTAGGGCTCACCAGATATGAAGACTGCTGAAACTATCCAGGTGATAGAAACCCATGGGGAAACATGCTCAGTGAATCCCATCACTTGGATCTGTTTAAACCAATAGAACTCTGTCAGAGAAAAAGATAATACCTTATCCTAAAGAGCTAAACATGAGGAGTAACGAGGGTGTCTGTACTCACCACGGTGATCTCCTGATCATAATTAGGAAACGTCTGCCAAAGTTAATATCTGCTTCATGTGTTGGAGCTTAAAAGAAACACTGCCAGGAAGAGAGTCAACTGAGTCCTAAACCTCAGGTCATGTGGTGTCTGGTTTTTCACTGTAGCGTGAGGCAACATGCCCCGGACTGGGGGACTCCGCAGAAACATGACAAACAGCAACAAGTTTCATTTCCTACCTTCTTCATTATAGCTCTATTGCAAAACTATGACACATCCAAATTAGTTTCAGTTATTCGATGTGCTGTTTTTATTAGCCCTTCATGGTCATACAACATTAAGGCCATACATATATATCCAACATTTACCACATTCATAAAAAAAGATTTTGTTGTAAACTTGGATTAAACCAGTGTCAGTCACCAATAAGTATCTATAGCAATCTTTTTATACTTTTTTGACCATGTAAACAATTCCATTTAAAACCAAAAGGCCACTGAGCATTTGATGTCTCATTCTTTTGCAGTTCAACAAAAATGAGTGCTGACATTTCTGATTCTGACATTTTGTCATAAGTTTAATTTTTCTCTCATGCACAATGTAAGCAGCATGTTGTACACTAGTTTATCTGTTCAGTATTTTTGTTGTTTCATCAATCTGTGGATCTAAATGCCGAAGAGAGAGGTGATCTTATGTCAGGGTAGTGCCAGGAAAACATGTTCAGACTGACATTGATAACATTGGTTATGAACCAACATGGAATTGGAGTTGAGTTTGAAACCATAGTTTCAACAAAGTTTCATTGTGTTTTTTTTAATGCAATGACAATGACGTGTCTTATCTATAAATCTTCATTATCCAGCACAATGCTTTGTACATTTCCAAGAACAAGCTTTCTTAATTTTTGTCTGGAATGTGGCCGTAATGCCAAAACAAGTAAGTGCGTGTCATGAGTTCAGGAGAAAAAGAACTGGGATCAAGGAACGACTTGGAATGAGCAACCCCCCCCCCCCGTTCTAGTATCACTCTTGTGCATCATTTTAGTCTAGCTGCAGTTCTTTGAGCATCCACAAAGAGGCATTGTTGCTCTGTGTATAGATACAGATGCAGCATTAGGATTGGGGCGGTTAATCCTGGGACTTACTAAGGAAGATTCAACCCATTTTTTTGACGAGTATATTCCAAAATTGCATCAAGCCTGTTTGCTTAGCACCACTGTATCCTCTATGGGTAAAGTATGAAAGATGAAGGAAATGCACTCCACTTATATTGGATCGTAACATTTGAATGTCGTTTTAATATTGATTGAAAAACACCTAATTGAAGTGAGGAAGAAAATAAACTATCCATCCATCCATCTTCTGTTTTCGCAAGGTCAGGTCCCAGTGGCAGCAAGCGCATTAAGTCAACCCAGACTCCCTTCTCCCCAGCAACGTTTCCTCTGTGTCTACCCCCGGGGTCTCCTCCCGGTTGGGAGTGCCCAGAAGTCCAGGAGGCATCCTTCATAAAGTCATTACCCCCCCCCCCAAACAGTTGTTTTCTTTATATACTGCACTATCATCTTGTCAACTGAAGGTATAACTTTTACAGATGGCAGATATCGCAGAGTGCACAGAAACTGTAGAGCAGACAGATGTGAAGCTGACTCGGTCCCTGGCCTTCAGATCGGCCCCCCTCCTATGAGAGAGCTCATAATAAATGTGGACAGACCTAGCCTGTCCTCGCTCCCTGCGGCTGAGTCGCTGAATCAGCTCGGTTAGTAGCACAATTATGAATTTCCATGTGACATTTGACAAACGTTAACCTTCTCTCCAACTACAAGGGTACTGTCAGGCTGGCCAAAGTTGTTAGCACGGCAGTACCTCTGTGACAAAAACCCAGTGAGTCACAGTGCCCCCCCCCCTGTACTGACGAATCCTTCCATGACACATAGGGGTGACTCGGCTTCTTCTCCTATAGGCTCTGCTTTATCTCCAAAAGAGTCCATCTTAGTAATGGCTACAGAGTTTGAAAACAAGAAGCCTCATACCTTGAGTTCAGCTTACTTGATCTGTTAAGTCCATAATGCTGCCACAGAAACCTAATTTACACCTCGACAACAGTTAGCTTCAAACAAGTAATCGGATTGGACAAGCAGCATTCCATGAGAGTACAACAGCAATGAGTTGTCAATTAAAATTACAGCAGACAGTCTTTGTCTGGATTGATCAAACTGTCACCTTGAGCAAGTGTCATCCCGCTCTTTGCTTCTGGTTGCACTATAAAAGGGCAGCAGTGGCTCAGTAGTATAGCAGGTTGTCTCTAAACCAGAGGTTTGATGGTTTGATCCCCAGCTTATTTTGCCGCCCGCTCCTGCAGGCACATGCTGAGGTGTCCCTGGGCAAGACACTAAATCCCAACATCCCTCCCGCTGCTACACTTTGCACAAAAGCCTCTGCCATCTTTGTGAATGGGTGAATGTGCCGTGCAGTGGAAAAGTGCTTTGAGTAGTCTAGAATAGTAGGGGTTGGGACCCCCTGGGGGGCCGTGAGACACTGAGAGGGGGGGTCACAAGATGCCTTCCAAAAACAAATAACAATTGTAAATGATTTAAAATGGCATTTTTTTTTACCCCAAAAAGATAAATAAATAAGCAGCCAATGTGCTACGATCAAGCATTCTAAGCAACTAGTTAATGGTGAATCTTGTGACCTTAATTTGAAATGTTAGCCAACATTTCTGTATATATGCCCACCAGTTTTTTCAACCTGAAATGTCTGCTTGTGTGTGTTGATAATTTAAAAGGGGTGAGGCTTTTAACAGTTGAGTGTTAAAAAGCTGCCAGAACTTAATCCCTTCTGCTTAATGTTTCATTTAGCCCTGATATGCATAATTAACGGATACACGCACCATTTTTCGAAGGTTACCCTGGCCACTTTTTAAAATGGGAACAACTAATGTGTGCACTGCAACTGTGGCAAAAGTCGAGGTTGTCACATGCTTTCAGCATCTGGTGCCTCCCTGGAAGACAGACCCTTAATCTCATTTACAAATGTACACGCTTGAGAAACACTTTGCGCCTCATAGACTCCTAAATGACACAGTCTTGATTCTTAAATCTGTTTTGACACTCAGTCAAACAAACTTAAGCAACAACTGGTCACACTATCTCAAGCAGCTTAATCCAGAATGGATATCAAATTGAGCACTTTTTTTTCTCCACTGGTACTTATCTGGTGCTTCAATCACCTGTTTAAATATATATTTCTCACAATCACAACTTTCTTGGGCAGACATGACAGTTGTCTCCACATATAATTAAGTTACAGCTCACAGGAGTCTGGCTAAATGTTGGAAGCCACATCAGTAAGTGTGATGATTATTCTTGTCCAGTCATGCTTGCTCAGACATGGTCTCATCTCTGCTGTAGGTGTCAGTTTGAATCACTGTCAGTCCGCCGCAGCAGCCTCTTTAAGCGTGGATGAAAAAGAGGATATCCTCCTTTGCACCCTCCAACTCTGTCTTCTCTCATTCGCCTTCCCCCTCTCCATCCTCCTCCATCTTCTCCTCCTCAGCTCATCCATCATTTGTTCATTCTTGGAGTCCTTGTCCTCGTCCCACCTCTCCTGCAGTCTACTCAACATGCCCAGTCTCTCTTTATGTCCATCGATTCATTTCTCACCTGTTTCACCCCTATTTCCTCCCATTTCTTCTCGCCTTCCTGATTTGTTCTTTCTCAAATCTTTAATTACCTAGGGAGTTTTTTGTTGTTGTTGTTGTTCTTGTTGCTTGGCTGCATCTCCTCCGCTTTATAAGCCTCCTCTGATTTCTCTCTCCGTCTCCTCCTTCTACTTTCGTGACCTTTTTCCTTAACCTCTATCATTTTCCATCATCCATTTTGCTTTCTAGTGGTAATGGGCTAAGACTCTGCGGCTATTACGGAGTCCTTCAGTGAGCCCCTTGAAAGAGATCTTTAAAAAAGCGCACTCATGCAAAGTAGAAGCTTTTAAGCGACCAATGCTTGTGCACTACAATGGGTGCTCGCCTGCGACAGTCGTTGTTTTGTTGCATTGTCAAATACACATAATCAACGTCTGAGCTACACATAAGAGCTCCCACTCTTTTTTATTTCATTCAATCTTTCCTGCATTGATACATCATTTCTTTATTTTGGACCATCTTTTTTAATCCTCTCTTTTTGTCCGCCCTCTTACTTGTCAGCCCTGTCCACGGGCACCCTGCTGGGGATTGGGTCCAACCAGCTGGCTGGGTCACTGTTTGGGAATAACGGGGGTCAACAGCTGCTGTGTGCTTCATGTCGTTGTCAAGCCAGGTCCAGGACAACTGCCATGCCCTTGCATAAATACATAGATGCATAAATACATAGAGAGACATGTGACCTGTCCTCGAGACCTTCTGCCACATCAGTCACCATTTACAGACGTTCCCTGGAACGCCCTTGGGCTGTCCCATCTGGCTTACGTGTGTGTGTGTGTGTGTGTGTGTGTGTGTGTGTGTGTGTGTGTGTAATTGATAAGTTTTCTGTGCCTGTAAATCAGTTCTTCGACCTTAACGGGCCTGAAATGGTGATTAAAGTGAGATCCTTTCAAATCACAGGAAGCTAGTGCTGCAGGATACTGGAAGAAACTGGCATAGACCTTTCTTTTCTTAGAATGATATTTAGCACGATATGAAACGGATGAGTTATAAAAAATATTCATCCCCTGTACTGTGTGTGTGTGTGTGTGTGTGTGTGTGTGTGTGCAGATGAAGACATGAGCTATTCAGACCGGTTTCTTTAACTTGGCTATAAACGTGATTATTTGTGCTGTAAAAATGGGCATTTGGGGCGGCTGTGGCTCAGCGGTAGATATCTCTCAACGATCCCCAGATCCTGCACTCACATGTCAAAGGGACATTGGACACTTAACCCCAAATTGCTCTCACTGCTGTGTCAGCGGCGTGTGATGGTGTATGAATGGAATTCGTTAATAATGATGGACACTTCACACAGCAGACTCTGCCATCAGTGTGTGGATGTGATGTGAATGGGTACGTGTGACCTGCGGTGTAAAAAGCACTGTAAGATGGTTGGACTCTTGAACTGATGATTTTTTTTTATATTTTTGAAGGACTCAAAGACTAAAC